GGGCCCTGCCTGAGCCCCTGGGACCTAGAATCAGATACCTTCCCCAGAGGCCCAGCCCTAGTGCTCATGTGTGGGGGAGGATCCACACACTGTCCTGGAATGGGGCAGATTCATTTATTTAAGGACTCGTGCTGCTTTCCTCAGCAGCACAGGATTGGGCTCATATACTGCACACTCGGGTCTGCCAGCATCACAGGGCCGACTGCCTCGCCTGAGGAGGGACAGTAGATGAAGCCGATGGAACCAAGTTTAAACATCTCATTGTTGACTGGCCGCCTCTTCTTACAGCTTCCTTGTTTTCATGGCCGTGCTCCCCTGCCCACTAGCAGAAGGGTGAGTGAGGAATGAGGCTCCCACCCTACGCCGACCTGTTCCCAGCATATGGCAGCATTATTCCACCCACTCAGCCATTTCAGAATGAAACCACACCTCACGCTGGCAGGATTTGCATACATTGCACACTCGTCCTCCAGGCCAGACAGCCAGGCCGGGAACTAGGGCACCGAGTTTCATCGGGCAGGATTTCAGCATGGCCACTGGCTCTGTGCTCAGACAAGCCCCCATCACGAGTGACGTGTAACAACTGCTCTGCTTTGGGGAGCTGGAGCTGCTCCCCAGCCCACGGCTGATGTGTGAGTGCAGCGTGCGCTTGCCCTGGGCAGATCCATGCCTGGCTGCTCCCAAGAGAACCTCTAGCAGGAAGTGAACAGAGAGAGAAACCTCTGCAGACTTGCCCTGTGGCTGCGACAGTGTCCGGTTAGCGGCGCATCACTGGGGAGACGGGTCTAGGAGCCTGGCACTGAGGAGGCACTTCCCAAACGTCCAGCCCAGCTTCTCAGGGACATAGAATTGTTGGGGAAAATCCACATCGGGCTTGAAATGTCTCCTGCCTGATCCCAGCTTAGTGGGGAATTTGGGGTAAAATTCCACTGGGCTGGTTTCTCGGGTCTCTCTCCTGCCGTGTCTGAGCTATGCCTCTGGGCAGTGGCTTAGCTTGGCTTGCAACTTTGTTCAGATTTTTTTCTACACTGATGATTTCAGCCTCCTCATCCGATAAAAACCACCCGCGGGTGGCGTTAAGGTTGAGAGCAGGTGGCCGTCTCTTCCAGGCAAGAACCACACAGGGATGCAGTTTTCCCCAACTCCCGCATTAGAGTGCTGCAGCATTCTGGTGCTGCAGGTTGGATTAAGTTAGATGAAATATATGGGCCCAAAGCGTTAACAGTGTTAACGTGACCTAGTCACGGTCCAACATTAAACAGTTTCAAACAAGGTTTGGTATCCAGAGACCCCAACCTGCTTAGTACCAGGGAAAACACATTATTAACCTTGAATTAAAGATACAGAAAAGGAGGAAAAACAGTTAAAGCCTTTGAAATGCAACGTATTGAATAAGGTTTCCATTTTCACCACATCCTTTGTTCCCTTCCCCTGTAGCAGGAGAGAGTTTTTAGAAGGGAAACCCCCTTGTCTGACAGTCTCTTAGCTGGTATCAATGACGGGCAATAAGTGTCCTTTGGGGAAAGGAGCAGTTTGTTGAGATGGGCTGGCACTGCTGCTGTTATAATTGTTAAACCCCAATCCCGTTTCCTAGAAGGCAAAACAAAAACCTCCACAGAAGGGGAAGCCACGAACAGCAAAGATGGAAAATGCAGCTTCTGTCTCTGGTGTAGGATCTCACTTGCAGCCCAGGCCCAGCACATAGTCTTGTCAGCCACTCAGAGACTGGCAAAGTTGTACCAGTGTTGGGCTGGTTAGGGCATTGTTATAGCTGCCTGCCTGGTCACAGGCTTTCGGCAATATGCAGACTTGCCCAGCTAAGCCAGTCTCTTATTAGACAGAAAGAAAAAGAAGGGAGCTAGGAAAGAGAAGTAATAAGGCGGGGAAGGAAAAGGACATGGGGGGTATGTATGTGACAAAGTTTCACACCCCAGATTGTATTTGGGGTTTAGCTGAAGCCAGCAGAGGTGCCTGTGTCATCTGGCTCCTTCTCTCTTTGGCTCAGTCTGGTCAGGACAATGCTCGGGTTTAGGATGAAGAAGGTCCAATGGTATCACACAGGATCCCAGGAGACGGTGGAGGTGGTAACCATAATGGTGACACATGCTTCTTCCCCGTTTTTGTCGGTCTGTCAGCTAGCATCGCAGGAGTCAGCTTCTCCTCCCAAAGTCTCTTTGAGGACCGAAAAGGGGAGTGATGTGTGGAATGGTCCATCCTTTCGTTACTGTGCCCACCAATTCGGCCTAGTCTTCGACACGCCATTCACTGATTTCCGCTTCCACACTTTTCTTGTTTACCAGGCACAATCTTAACACAGCCCTTGAGTTCTCGCAGGAGGCCTTTTTGTCTGGACTAATTCCATCCTCCTGTCTCACCTTTGCACCGTTTCCCATCAGCATTTGTTGTTAGGCTATTGTGACACTGTGAGCTCACCTGCACAAACTGAGTGTTTATAGGCCCAGTTTTTACAACCTGTAGCCTGATCAGCTCCATAGCTTGTCTGGGTGTGTTCCCCAGAGGCGTCCACACTGCAAAACCGTGACCAGACCTTGCGGGGGAACAGGGCGTAGAGGTTGCTGCAGCTCCCCACTGCCTCTAGCTGCCCAGCAGCTCGAGGAGCCGGGGAACTATCGCTCCCCAGAGCAGAACAAAATTGTGTCATGACCCAGGGTTTTCTCTAGAGACCAAGATGAAGGGGAACCTCCAGGGCTCCGGGGTGATTAGACCGAGTTCCCTGGCTCACGCCGCCAGCCGCTGGCCTGCAGAGAATTCACAGCTCAGCCCTGCAGCCACGGTTCCCTCGCAAAGCGTGAGGCTGAGCGCAGGTCGAGTTGGCCAGGAGCAGCTTCGTTAAACCCCGCGCACTGTTCTGTCCACATGGGCGAGCCGCTTCCAGCCCAACTTCCCTGTTCCACTGGTGTCCTGCCATCACAGACCCTCTGGGGATCATGGGCCCTCTGACTCCAGTTCCACTCACATGATACACCCTCCGCAGGCATGGCACAGGCATGGCCATGTTCTCTTAGACTTCCTCTGGCGGGGTGTCCTGCCTGCCGCAGTCGCCAGCATCTGATGTTCCACATAAAGGGCTTGTCTACACTGGCAAGCTTCGTGGCCAAAAAATGCCTTTTGAAGACAAAACAGCATGAGCGTACGCACTCCAATGGGACTTTTGTCGTGAAAAATGCCCAGGTTTGGCGACAAAAAACTTGCACCCCGCCGAGAGACTTTTGTCTTTTCCCCTCCCTTTATTGTCGACAAAGAGCCAGTGTAGACACTGCTGCTGGTTGGTCCACAGAACTGGCTTCCACCAGTATCCCACAATGCCTGCCTTGATCGCTCTGCCCAGTGTCGTGATCTCTGCTGCCCTGCAGGCACACGCCCCTCCCCGTTCAAAGCTCTGGGAAGTATCTGTGTGCTGCTCCCTTTGGGGAACAAATCATTAGGCTGCTCCTGTTCTGCCCGGCACTAGGGACACAGCCGGAGAGGGACAGACTGCGGGGCAGCTTTGCCGTTCCTCAGCACAGAGCGCACACAGAGCTACTCGTGATGCTGCTCTCAGCCGCTGAGGGGGCTGTGGGAGAACTCACGCAGCGATCAGTTCTTCCTTCCCACAATGTTGCACTGTGGGATACATACCCATGGTGCAGTGCTCACCCTGTCGATGATGGTGTCCCCAGTGTGGACTTGATCTGTCGACAGAGGGAGCAAGTGTGAACACCCTTTGGCGATTTTTGTTTTGTCGACTTTTGGGTGTCGACATAAGGTTTGTCAACAAAACTTGGTAGCGTAACAAGCCCGAAGGTGAAGTACACCTGGGCAGCGGCACTGCACCACACCAGCTTCCTTTAGGTAATTGCAGAGACTGTGCATTGCTGGGAAACCACAGGAGATTGCATCCACCTGCAGCTCAGTAAGTCCCATTAGATACGGTGTTATTGTGGGTTCTGAACTGCCTCAGGAGGAAGTGTATCACCAGGGCCACTGCCTGCAGCACCTGGGTTTCTCTTGGAGGTCTCTCATCTAAGCATTGACCTGGCCTGGTCATACTTAGCTCTGAGAACTAACACCATGCCTCAGCCAGGTAGATGGAGCAATTAACTCAGTGGTGTTTTCAGTTTAACAACGATTAATAACAACAATGCAGGATAAACAACTGACTGTCTGGGATGAAAGCCATGAAGCTGCAAGGTGTGGAAATGCAATAGAAAGTGGTGGATCACTCAGTGCTGACATCAGAATTGAGCCACAGCCGGGAAGAGTGGAGTAAACCTGTACTTAAAACCTGCTTCTTCCAAGGAGCCTTCCCACACAGATTTCCTCAGCAGCCTGCCACCCTGAATGGCTCCCTCTCGTTGAGTCTGACTGGAAGCACTTTGAGGCAGGGAGGACTCTTGTCTTTCTAGGTTTCATGTGAAGAGCCACATAGTGGTTCAGAGGTATAGAAATAATGCCAGTTCCAACCAATTCCTCCTGCATACCTTGTTCCTGGGGGTTTGGGGGAATAAAAACTATTGCCAGGCCAAGCTGCAGCTTTCAAACTTCAGCCATTTCTGGGCTTGGTATCTCATCTCCTCCTTGTGCCTGGTGCATTTGTGTCCTATGCAGGCTGATCATTAGGACCTTCTGACATGCTTCATCCCCCATTCTCTCACCCACCCTCCTGTTGGCCAGTTAATTGAGTAGGGAGGTTTTCTCTACTTGTCTGCCCTGGGTCTATCCAACATCACCAGTTTTCTGCAGTCGCTGATGTCCCTGAGCATTGGTGGATCTCAGTCCCTCCGCTTTCCTCCTTAGGTTTCTTTGCTTTTGTCTTCCAAGGCAATTTCTAAGCATGACGAGGACCTGTTCATATCCTTATTCTGTGTGGGCAGGGACAGATATCTGGAGCTGGCTCCTTAGAATGTGGAATTAAGTTAAAATATGGGCGGTCCTTATAGATCACCTGTGAGCTGCTTCCTCCCACACTTGAACCAGCTCCACCTGGGTGCGACTTTAAATTGCAGGCTGGCTCAGCTCTGGGCACTCAGACCCAGCTCTTGGCAGCACCATGAAGTCAAGGGGCCTCTTTCTCCTCCTGGGGCTCTTCACCCTCTGGACAGCGCTGCAGGGCGCTCCAAGACAAAGTGAGTACAGGCAGAGAAGGGAGCAGGGCATGGAGGGGAGACCTGGCATGGAGGGGGCAAGGGCAGTGGGTGCTTAGAAATACCTGACACTTTAGTTGGTTTGTCTCATCCATGACCTGACGCAGGGACCAATAGAAACACGTCTCCGTTGTCAGAGCCACTGGCACAGGGATGGGACTGACCCCAGCAAAGCCAGGGTGAGGGGATGAGATTCCCTCGGAGCAGCAGACAGAATTACAGACCAGCTGGACTGGCCAGACACTGCGAGTTCCCGAGATGCGGAGTGACAGTCACTGAGGGCCAGGCATCCGAGGGCTCAGGCTGGCAGGCTCTGGACTGTTTTAACTGGAGGCTTTTATTATCAATATAAGAATATGCAGATGCCCAAACTCTGCACTACAGCATCAGCGAGGGGAACAGGGTTGTCTAAGATTGAGAAACCCAGGTATAGATGGGAGAGAAGAGGGGAGGCTCTACCCATGGTACTTCACATGGGTCCCCAAGGCTGTTTCTGCTCTGAACTCTTTCTCGTCTCAAACGTGGGCTGCTGGGTGCTCCTGATTGCCCAGGAAACACACACCTGCTTCCAACGTACCCTCTTCTTGGCGGGGTTTGTTAATACAAACCAAGGCTCCATGCCCATCTGGTTTGTTAGGCCAGGTGGAAGTCCAGCACTTAATCTCCCCATACCATCAGGTTTTGATGGCCTTGATGGATCCATAGTGCCACCCGCTGCTTCTCTGAATAACCTTTGCCAGCAGTGTCTTCCCAGGCTGCTCAGTACTCAGACAGGTCACGGAGGCCTGTTGCCAGGCTGATATACTGGCTGCCTGAGGGACAAGCTGGTTTTTCAGGAGGAAGGCCGACCTGCGTCAGGTTATTGAGTGGGGGGTGGTTGTGTTTGTGGGCTGGGCAGCTGTTGTTCCATTGCCATTCATTTTGCCACTTACATTTCTAAATGGAGAGACTTTATATGCTAGAATAAAACAACAACCAGGCTGTGGCTCACCAGAGAGACCCTGCCAGTGCTGAGCTGAGATGCAGTTAATGCCACCGGTCCCTGGAGCTGGAGGAGTAATTTCCAACTCGGGTAGATGTACCCACGCTCGCTCTGACTGAGCTTGGGTGCTGAAAACAGCAGGATCGTTGGGGCTGTGTGGGCAGCAGGCCAGCTGCAGCCCCCTACATGAAGGGATGTAGAAATTCCCATCAAAGAGAGACACTCTGGTGGCAATGCCTTTTGGAATCCATCCTTTCCAAAATACCATAACCCATCTTCCCCACAGCCCCTTCCCCAAGCACCTTAATCTGGACTGTCCATGGTTCCTGACTCACTGAATTCTAGCTTTTAAAGTCCCTTCAGGACAAGAGGAAATAAACTCCATGGCCCTCTAACCACTGAGACTTCTGTCCACATCCCGCTATGCCAGTGGATTCCCGTTGAAGATCCAGATGTAAGCAGGGGAATGGTTGCACTATGGTGCGGAACTTTCCTGGTGTATGCACTACCCCGGTGAAATGGGCTAGCGAACGGATCTGAGTCCTCGCTCCCAATCCCTTCACCCGCAGGCCGGCCTGCCCTCGAGGACTCCCCTTCCTCCCTCCTCGTAACCCCGATACGGCTGGGCCCAGGGTTCCTGGGGGGCTGGGCCCGCAGTCTTGTTGTGGTCACGTAGGGCAGGGGCCTGGGTGTCCCCACTCCGGGGGACTGAACTCTCTGCACTGAACGCTTCCCTGCCCCACTGCTCACCGCAGAGTTCAGAGTAAATACAATTTAGTAACCAGCAACTAATGAGAACACGGGAAAAGGGGAAGGTGAAAGGGAAACATTTCACCCTGCCCAGTGGACCCAGGGCACCACCCTCGGCCATCTCGGGGGCACAGGGACTTTCCCAACCTGCCCCTCGCATGTCCCAGGCCCCTGCCCAGGGCCTGGCTGTGCTGCCGTGACACCGGGGCTCGCACCCTGCTCTGGCGGTGCCCACATGCCCACAGGTGCTAGGGGGCAGGGCCCGTCCCCCCAGCCTGGCCCCCGTCGGGGTCACGAGCCCCTCCCAGCCCCACCTACAAGGCCTCGTGCCTGGGGCCTCCCTGCACTGGGCCTGGGGCCCGGGGCCCCTGGACTCCCCAGTCGCTCACGTGCCCGGCCCCGGCTCCGGCCCCAGCCCCATTCACACCCTGCCTCCAGCTCAGCTCCTGGGGCTGCTCCTCTGGCCCCGGCTCTCGCCCTGCTCCCAGCCCAGCCGGGCTCCTGCTCTCCCCTTAGCTCTGCCCCTCTGGCCCCGGCCCTGGCCGCTCCACCTCACACGAGACCCTGGCCTCCTGACCCCCTCATTGGCCTGTCTGCCCTGTCAATCAGCCTGACCTGGAGCATTGGCCTCTCCCCATTGGCCTTGGGGACTGTCAGTCTCCTGATTTCTCATTGGCCCTCCCCCTTTCTTTTGGCCCTGTGAGAGGACCACTGAACAACCCTCCTTAGAGTCAAGGAGGGGCCATCAGCCCGTGACCCAGCGTTATCCTGGTCTGTGTCTTAGGTCTGGGAACAGGAGGCTTCCTACGGGCTGAGTACACAATACCCCAGGTGGCCTGTGCGGGACAATGGCCGGCTTGGAGCAGAGCTGATTAGTGAAGGAAATGTCCTGGCCTGGAGCAGGGCCTCGGGGCTGAGAATAGCGATTCAGAGAGGGGGGCGGAGGTCTATCATCAGTGATCGTTTGGCCCATTTCTTCAGGATCCTCTCTTGTTTCATGTGAAGTTATTTGGCTGCCATGTGACACCTGTGAGACTCACCGATTGCACAGCTCCTTCGTGGGGATGAATCAGCGATAGGAATGTCCCATAGGATGCCAGCGCAGCAGTAATAGGGGTGGGGTCATGAATACGTGGCAGTTATGCCTAGGCAGCGTTCAGGGGACAAGAAGTACCTGTTATATAGTTGCGTAGCTTCAGTGGCTTCATGATAATCTACTCTGTGTTGGGAAATGATCTGGACAAGAAACCTCATGCAGACACTGAAATGGGAGACTGCCTGGATCTACTGCCTTTGAGTCATCTTAGTGATGTGCAGGATGATATGAGTACTACACATGGTCAGACATGGAATCCCATCACCACTGATTGTTACTATCTTCCAGATGAGAATCAACCCACTGTACCAGCCTCAGCGTGCATCTCCCCTTGCCAACAGCACAACAGTTCTTGGTCAGTCATATTCAAACCTTGCAGAAGGGGAGACACTATGTTCTGTGTCAGAATCTCTAGTATGCCCTACCCTACCTTCTTAGGCCAGAATGCTGTGATTTCATGATGCCTGCGTGGCCCCCTTTCTGAGCAGTGGGACTTGGAGTAGAGAATGAGAAGTGAGAGGAGGGGTTGGGTGCAAAAAGAGGACTCAAGGCTGAGTTCAGAGCTTCTCCTATAAGTGTCACTACAGGCCAGAGCAGGGGCAGAAGATTTGTATAATTTTTGGTGGTGCCCAGAACACCTGCAGAGTTTAAGAACCACCTTGAAACTCACCATTTTCTATTTCAAATACAAAGCTCGCCTATTTGATCTGCCTTCAGTAATAAAAACATAGAGCACAGCGGATAGAAAATAATAACAAAAAATTAAAATAACCCTCACCCCTACACAATGTCCTCATGGGAAAGGAAAGGTGAAACCGAGTGAGAATCATATTGAGAGACACTAGTCATCTCACTTACTGCACTTCTGGAAGTTGCTCAGATACCACAGGGATGGGTGCAATAATAGAACCTGAATAGAATAGAATCAGGTACCATATGTACAACTACATAGTGACTATCCAAGGTAAGGGGCAATGCTCATATCCTGTGGACAGGTTGCTGCAGCGTGAAGAAAGTGCATAGGGTGGATTGGCAGCAGCCATATGTGACTGAGGCATATTTGGGTCTCTGACTCTCCTGTTTTCTCTCCCATTTTCAGAGATCCCTGGCACAGCTTCTCCTCTCCATGGCGATGACCCAGGGAAGCACATATCAGAAGAAGATGAGCTGAAGGAAAAACTTGTGTTGGGGGCAACAAAACCAGTGCCTGGAGCAGAACCTGAGTCTAATGGAAAACCGGTGTCTAGTGCAGAACCTCTATCCAGCGAAAACCCCGTGTCTGTTGTAAAACCTAGATCCAGTGGAGAACCTGAATCTGATGAAAGACCTGTGTATGGTGGGAGAGAAGATGATGATTCTGACCTGCAGGATGGTGACTCTGACGGGGATGATGACTTTGATGGGGGAGATGATGATTCTGACCTGCAGGATGGTGGCTCTGATGGGGATGGTAACTTTGATGGGGGAGATGATGATGATAATGTGAGGGACGGTGACTTTACCAAGGCTGATGACGTTGATGGAGGAGATGATGATTCTAATGTGAGGGATACTCGCTCTGATGGGGCTGATGACTTTGACGCGGGAGATGTCGATTCTTACCTGCGGGATGGTGGCTCTGATGGGGGAGATAATGATGCTAATGTGAGAGACGGTGACTTTGCTGGGGTTGATGACTTTGACGGGGGAGATGATGATGATAATGTGAGTGACAGTGACTTTGACGGGGGAGATGATGATGATGATGATAATGTGAGTGACAGTGACTTTGACGGGGGAGATGATGATGATGATGATGTGAGGGACGGTGACTTTGACGGGGGAGATGATGATGATGATGATGTGAGGGACGGTGACTTTGACGGGGGAGATGATGATGATGATTCTAATGTGAGGGATACTCGCGCTTATGTGGATGATGACTCTGACACAGAAGATGTCGATTCTTCCCTGCAGGATGGTGGCTCTGAAGGGGGTGACGACTTTGGTGAGGCTGATGATGGGTCTGAGGGTTCAGAGTATTAAGGGGAGTGTCCTCAGACCTCATTGACCCGGACATGGAAACCTTCTGATATCAGATCAGCCGGCAAATACATTCCTGGCAACAAGAGCCTCTCTTTCCTGTTTGACGTTTTCCAGCTGTCCCTTCTCTTTTACCAGTGATTGCCTGGGAACAAGCTGCCTCCTCGAATGGCAAGGTTACTGCTCAGGGATCACTCTCTCTGGGTGAAGGAAATCAATGTTCAGGGATCTTCGCTCCCTGGCTTGAGTAGGGTGCAAGGGGACGTTGGGGTTCTCTCTCTAGGCTCTTACTCTAAGCTCGTCACCCTAGTGTCTGAGCACTTTGATTCAGCTTTCAGGTCACTTTTTCTTGGGATATATTTTCTGTCTTATTAAATCTTTCCTGATGGGTTAGCCAGCCCCTGGCACTGATGTTCTCCACCCCTAGCGGTGTTCCAGGTTCAGGCCAGTTCTTCTCCGATACCTGTCCCATCGCATGGTGCACCCAGAGCCATTCCCTCCGGACACCTTCAGTCTGGGCCTGGGGCCAGTGTCTTCCTCCGGCAGCCGGAATTCCGAGCTGAAGGAAAACTCATTTACTCAGAAATTCCCCTTCTGATGTGGCTCCCCCTGCCCCGAGGTCAGCCATAGCCTTGGTTTAGTATCTGATACATCCTCTGCTGGTCTCCATGGAGTGAATGGGCTGAATGAACTAACTGGCATTTTCCATCTCTAACTACTGCGACTCTCTTCTCTAATGGATTGTATTCACTGAGGGACAACCTGTTCTACATTCTCAACGACTGAGGGACAATCTACACTCATTGCTATATTTGCTTTCCACAAACTGCTCTTAGTATAACCTTTTATGAGGGATATACCTGAATATTTGGCTGCTAATATCTAAACTGTACTGTTAAATTTATTAACCCTAATTTGGGATATTGCAGATTATGTACTATATGTATTTTAGGGCTTTTAAACCAAACTTTGTACTTTTGGATAATTTAAGCACTATACCCAGATGTATAAACACGCTTTCCTCAACCTGTGTATTAGAGAATTTTAACATTAGGGTTAATAAACATTTTAAAATCTGAAACATCCTCTGCTGGTGCCCCCTAGAGTGAATAGGCTGAATGAGCTAATGGGCATTTTCCATCTCTAACTGCTGCGACTCTCTATGTTCTCAGTAAAGGCATCACTTTATTAGCACTCATGCCAAAGGAACTTCAATAGTCACCTGACAATGGCTCTGTCGTACATCGCCATTAGATAGTAGTGTAGCAGGCCACTCTAACGCTGCAGTATCCTCATCAGTGGAAACTATAATGTAGAAGCCCAGATGTTTAAAGCTGTATTTTAACATGTTTCAGAGGAACAGCCGTGTTAGTCTGTATTCGCAAAAAGAAAAGGAGTACTTGTGGCACCTTAGAGACTAACCAATTTATTTGAGCATGAGCTTTCGTGAGCTACAGCTCACTTCATCAGATGTTCACAACATCTGATGAAGTGAGCTGTAGCTCACGAAAGCTCATGCTCAAATAAATTGGTTAGTCTCTAAGGTGCCACAAGTACTCCTTTTATTTTAACATGGTTTCTCAGACTGTCTAGTGAACTGTTTTTTAACCAATGCAGCCTGAACAAGTCTGAATTTATGGAGCAGCAGCAGTCAGAAGATTTTCTGGACAAATTGCTGGGTTCTGTGTTGGACAAATTCTGCTAGTTTAATCTACACTAACAAGCCTCAGCACCATCTGTGGAGGTTGGAACAGGCACCCAGTGCCACGGAGTCCCCCTGAAATGCCTTGATAAGTCTGGAAGATCTAGGGAATTCCACTGAGCATTGGCCTGCTACCAACTCACTCCACTAGCTCTTAACACTTATTTCCATTCTAAGCTGCTGTTCAGGATGTAGGCCCAGGAGACGGTCCATTGCCATAAAGCATCTTCTCTCACCCCTGCACAGCTCGAAGCATTTAACTTCTGGAGGTTTCTGGGAAGTTCTCTCCTGTGCTGCCCCTCAGCGCAGGAGCAGGTGTTCCTCTGGAGCTCATGAACTTTAGAAGTGGATCGTTTGGCTTTTGATTCCATTTGGGCAGCTTGGACGGGCCTCTGCTGCTCCATTCTCCTGGGGACGGTGTAGACTTGAGGTAACGTGTTGGAAACCATACGTATGACTCCGTTACCCAGCTGTGCACATAAAAACTGAGCTCCATTCCTGGCAGGCTACTGAGAAAGGATTGTGGAGCGAGCAAACGGGCTCTTTACACTTGGCGCCCGAATCCAGGGTTAACAGTGTGTGACTAGGTCATGTCTTTACGAAACGTGCAAAAAGAGAGCCAGGATGGCCTAGTGGGTTGGGTCTGGGTATATTCCCTCTGTGCTCTGCTATGTTTGTAACCTCAGCTCTGCCATGTGTAACTGTTTGGCTTGGTTTCAGAGTAACAGCCGTGTTAGTCTGTATTCGCAAAAAGAAAAGCAGTACTTGTGGCACCTTAGAGACTAACCAATTTATTTGAGCATGAGCTTTCGTGAGCTACAGATGCATCCGATGAAGTGAGCTGTAGCTCACGAAAGCTCATGCTCAAATAAATTGGTTAGTCTCTAAGGTGCCACAAGTACTCCTTTTCTGTTTGGCTTGGGTAAGACATTGTCTATCTGTGTGTAGGTTTCCCCAGGGGTAGAATGGGGGGGGGACCTACCTCCTGGGGACTCTGAGGACTCACCAGTACAGCACTTAGTAAATGTGTACATGTAACTCTTAGAATGTAGGGGAAGAAATTGTGTGTAGGGTTGTAGGGGCTGATTCTCCACAAGTCTCCAGCCCAGTGCTGGGCGCAGTCGTATGATTTCCATGAACAAGTGTTGAGGATACACCTTCAAGCTGTGTATTTGGCAACTGGGTGTTCAAATGGCCACCCGTGCGGCTAATCTGCACATTGCATGGACAGACATCGTAATGGTGCCTGCAGATTAGAGACACAATTGTGCAGGTGCTCGGCCAGTGTCCTTGGGGAGTTAGGCCGTACGTATGTTCTACATCAGGGAACACAAAGGGCCCGGCTTTGTAAAAACCCTTCTTGTTTTCACCGTTCTCTTCCTTGGAGTAAAAAGTCCCCTCCCCGTAACACTGTTGTTAACGGAGCTGTGTGTTTATCTCTGCTGCTTTGCCCACCATTCTGCGTGTAGCTGGGTGTCCGAGCCACCTTCCTGTCTGGTTGATGCAGCGTGTGTTCTCTGCCACGTGACGTGCGCTGGGAGGTAGCTTGGTCTCTTTCTTTTAGAAATGAAAACCTCTCTTCAATAAATGTGGATATTAAAAATAACCCCTGCCGGGATATTGCTGTGAATGTCTGTCTGTGGTTTCATAAGCCTGTGTCCCTGGCCTGTGCTCTCCCCTTGCCCTCCCAGACAGGAGCTTCTCTTCTCTATTGGGCCTAATTTCAGGGTACCATGAGACGCCCTTTCCACTAGTTCCTCAGCCAGTGGCCAGGAACACAGAGGAACACACTGATCCTGCACATGTTCAGATGCTTAACTTCAATGGGACTTGTCACGGAGTCCCTGGGCGATGCTCTGGAACTGCTCCCCATGAAGCTAGGCAGGACTCTGGGGAAGTCTCCTTTCTGTGAGCAGCCTGTCTGCAGGACACACAGCTTCCACCTTCCTGGGTCTGACCTCGGAGCATTCAGCATCCTCTGCGCCCTCCGTGCGCTTCCCACAGTGAGTCTGCCCAGGCAGGGTCCTGGGGAAGCCAGAGGGTCCTGCCCCCCAACTCCGCAGTCAGACGTGACTCTCAGCCAGCCAGTAAAACAGAGGTTTATTAGACGACAGGAACACGGTCTAACACAGAGCTTGTAGGTGCAGAGAACAGGACCCCTCAGCTGGGTCCATTTCGGGGGGCAGTGAGCCAGACAACCCCATCTGCACTTCACTTCTCCTCCCCAGCCAGCCCCAAACTGAAACTCTGTCCAGCCCCTACTCCCCTGCGCTTTGTCCCTTTCCCCGGCCAGGAGGTCACTGGATTCCTTTGTTCTCCAACCCTTTAGCTCTCACCTTGCAGGGGGGAAGGGCCCAGGCCTGCCAGGAAACAGGGTGTCGGCCATTTTCTGTGTCCAGACCACTGCACACCCCTGCCCTCTAGGGCTCTGCAAGGATCATACACCCTTATCCCACCACCTAGACATTTAAGAACTGCCTAGGGGAAACTCAGGCACCCCCACACTATTCAGAGGAAAGATTAAGAACAGTCCCACTTCATCACACTAGTCATGGGCCAAAAGCCAAACACAGAGGTATTTGCAGGAGTGGGGCCAAAATTAGTCCCTGAAGTACAATTTCTAGTGGCAAATTAGATCTGCACTAATATGAACCCTCACCCCTTCCTGTGCCCAGCACATTCTATCCCCCGAGCCCAGTCAGGGCACCCCCCGACGCGTGAAAGGCCAAAGGCCAAAGCAAAATGCCAGAGGAGGAGGAGGGGAAGATGGCAGTGTTAGGGAGAAGACACCTGACCAGGGTGCGAGTGTAGATGGGAGCCAAAGAACCTTGTCTTTCTGCCACTGCTTTCGTGTGCCAGGACTCATCTGCCAGGGATTCTACTTGTTCTTTGGTGGTTTGAGTGCCCCAAGGCATGTGAGCGTTCCGAGACCCCTGGGGAGCCTGCCCGCCGGACCCAGCCCTCCCCAGGGTTTCATTAAAACAGCCACACAGAGGCAGCCAAATAAAGGCGGGAGATCCAGACCTCCCCCAGAAGCAGCCGCTTCACAAAGCGCCTCAGACCGAGCAGGCAGTGGGACACGTTCCCCGAGCTGCTTGCACACAAATATGCAAGTGCATTTGGGAGCCCAGTGCACATGACTGTGTGTGTAAATGGGTGACTTGCACTAGGCAACCGGGTGTGCAGCTGCACAGGCCAAATTAGGCACAAAACCTGCACAATTGTGAAAACCTGGGCACTAGTGTAAAGACTGGTCTGCTCCATGTGGCTGCTCCCAGAGCTTCCCAGGCACATCCCAGAGCTTGTCTGTGCTTACTGGGAAAGTTTCCCATCAGGCAACTCAGCATCTCTCAGCCTCTGGATTGCAGCCCTGAATAGAAGCAGCTGCCTTGGATCCAGCTTGACAGGCCCAGAGGGGTGGGGTGGGTGGTGGGGACTGCTCAGGCTGGGAGAGGCCTGACCTGGAGAACGGAAGCAGAGGCCGAGGTGCTGGGATGTCAGGAAATGTTTACTGAGGAAGAGAAGAAATCCCAGGAAGCCACGACCTGTTCTCCTGGCAAGAGCACCGGGGATGGGGGAGAGTCCCTGGGGGTCGGGGCTTTGTCTTCCTGCTAGTCCGATCTTTGGCAATTGACCCCAGTGCGGCTGAGGCAGCTCGTCCCCTGAGGAGTCTGGGTCCTGGCAGATGGGAGTTAGGGAGACTGTGGGAAATAGGACAAAGCCGTCAGAGCCCTTGTACCATGGCACTGTGAGGCACCTCCCCCACTCCTTAACCAGTCCTGCCTTGAAGACGGTTTAAATTCCAGCCCGGCTCAGCACTGGGGACTCAGAGCTGACCCTCAGCAGAACATGGCATCAGGGTGCATTGACCCCGGGTGCCTTACACACCCAGCAGGTATATTTCCATTTCCTTGGCTAGTCACTCGCATGGCTAGAGCTGCAGGCAGAAAGGAACTGAGACTCTTCCAGCTCTGGAGGGTGGGGGCAGGTGGGAGGACAGGACGGGATGGGCTCCCTTCAGTCTGCAGCTATGGGACGGTGAGAGATGGGCCATGTATACAGTGTGTGATGCTGTATGGACTCGTCGTGACCATTTATAATGTTCTTGATACCAGTGTTACAAAATTGCAATGAATTGTACAAGATATGCCCTGTAAGGTATTAGTGGAAAAGTTATGATTGGCTAAATATGATAATCATGTTTATATGTATGGATCCTATTTGTATTGTGAGTTATAAATATGTGTGGTATATTTGTATTTCAAACTTGTGCTGTGTTTCTGGGTTACACCCCCAGACAGATTGGCATCAGCACTATCCAGCCAGCTACACAATGAACCCACGGAGA